CAATGAAATTAATAAAAATTAAATAAATCAAAACTTATGAAATGTTAGGTCCTAGATTGATAGTTTTTCATCTTTCGATTCCTATACTGATACATTTTATATTTTAGGTCTCTAATTGATAATTTGTCTATCTTCCGGATCCTATATTGATAAAATTCCAAATTTAAATGAACTAAATTCAGGATATGTATGATATCTTAAACAGTAACATTCATCTAATATTTACATTCACCTAATATTAGAGTGTTTGTAAAAGTTAAAAAAGTATTTTCACCTTTTGGTTTAAAAAAGTTTAAATGAATGTTTTCAACCGATAGCTTTTGTTTAAATTAAACACTTAAAAAGTTAAAACTTACATTTTTTTCAACTCTAAAGATATCAAGATTTCCGCTATTAGGACCAATACCGAGAGCGTACATTGCACACTCAATTGTAAAGTGTTCACTGTACAACATGATATTTTATTTCAAGCTTAATGAGTATAACGTTTAAAATTAATGAGTACCGATACTAAATAATTCGGTTGGTAACACAATTGAGTATTACAATCATGCAATTGAGTATCATGATATACACGTAGGCTACAAATCAACTTATCTATATAACTATATTATCATTGTATTATCATCAAATTATTTATTGTGTTAATTTTATAATTCAATATCAACACTCATTTCTTTTGAACGTTATACTCATTTAATTTAACATAAAATATCCGATTATACAGTGAGCACTGTACAACCGGGTGTCTAGTATAATTGGTCACCAATATCTCTAATTACAATTCTAGATTCTAACTCTTTTGGAGGAAAAATCAATCAAGATTTACTTTTTTAGAAGTTTATTCTCATCACTTATCAGATAAAGTTCATGGTTAATAAGGGGTGTCCTCAACTTATACCCACATTATACCCATCATATTTGTGAATGTTTTTTTGTATGTGAATCTGATTCAAAGACAAAACAATGTCTTATTTTGTCTGTATAAAAGATACCTTTCACAAATATGGTGGGTATAAAAGTGAATATAAGGATGTGTATAAAGTATAAAGTATAAACGACATTTTTGATATATTTTGAGTATACGTGTGTGTCATTATTTAACAAATTTTTACCTCCATCGTTGGGACTTGGGACCATTAACTCCGAGTTTTTTCTACAGTTAATTCACAAAGAACTATAGGTGGGCTATGGTCCAGTGGAGGCAGTGAGTAGTCACCAAAAAGTCCCAACGCGGCCGAATCCAAAACAGTACGCGCCGGGAGTATAATATTCTAAGTAATCACTCCAAATATTGGATATTTAACCGTCCATCCATAATAAACTACTTGACAAGAATTCTTTCTTTTTAAAGGATACACTCCCATGACCCGTCCTCACCTAAAATTCTCATTAAAAAATAAGGCGTTTATTTAAATGATACTTAAATAAAATAATTTTCAGGTTATTTCTTCTCCCCGTTCTTTCTAAGCTTCTCAGATAAACAAAAATCTCAAACAAAAAAAACACAATTATGAAGGTCATCATCAAACTTTCCACTTCTATGAAATTATCTCTAAATAATTGAATCTCGATCTAATATATCTCCACTTCCATAAATTAGGAGCTCTACTCATTCAAGTTTGCATTTATATTGCGAGAGTTATTAAGGACAAGACTCATGGATTTGATCACATACACAAATGAATAATGAGCATACAATAATGAGCTTTTGAATTTTTTGATACTCATTTTGTAAGTTATGCATGCTCATTTGGAATCGCTTTATGCTCATTTTAAAATGTTGCACATTTCAAACATATCATACTACATTAGAAATGAGTTTTATGTTAAATTCAAATGAATATAACGTCCAAAATGAGTGAGCACACACAAATGCGTTTTTGATTTTTTTGATACTCATTTTGTAAGTTATGTGTGCTCATTCGATACTGCTTAATACTCATTTTACAAGGTTGCACATTTCAAACATATCATACTACATTAAATTCATATATTGAAATTAATTGAAATTGATTATAGACATAACTTAAGACTTTTTAATAAACGAAAAAATAATAAACGGAAAGTGATATATAAGGTCTGAAGCAGAGATCACTGATGCTTATCGTTAGGCTCCTAATACTCAAAAGAACAGACGAGATGCTCATCAAAATTGCATAAATACTCATTTAAGAGAATCCACGATTTTGACATAAATTACAAGTGATCACTGTATAGCCGTTTGTACACTATACGGATCCATAAAAAGTAAGAAGAGCTTGGATAATAATTTTGGTAGTTACGAAAATGAAAACAGGAACATTACATATACTACTTGGTAAATATATACAAATATTTTATTCTTTAATAAGAGTGGTTTAATTCATTGCAAAACTAGAACTTTTTTTTTCCCAATGAGGGTTGGTTAACACGAACACAATTTTGTTCACCCTCATTTGAGAGGGTTATTTTCACCCTCACCCCTATTTGCCTCCCATGTGGCAATGCAATACTTCACAATGGGATGAGATGGGATGGAATGCCACATGGCAACCATAGAACAAAGGGGGTGAACATCACCCTCCTTAGTGAGGGTGTACAAAATTACACTCGGTTAACACGGGTAAGGACCGGTCCCATTCTAGCTTTTTTAATCCACTTCTTAGTGCATGGAAATGGAATCATTTGTTAAACCGGTAGGCGTAGCTCAACTGGTAGCAAGAGAGTGTGACAAGGGTTAGGCCCCGAGTTTGAATCCCGGCAAATGCAATGAGAGGTGACTATACTAATTGCTAGGGTCTCTGCAAGTACCGTGGTCAGAGCCTCACTCTTTATTTGTCAGAATGAGATTACAGTTCAATTTATATCCTCCCAACGTACCGTCGGGTCAGGGTTGGGTGCCCTCAGGGATGTGGTGTCATCCTTTTTTTTGGAATCATTTTTCAATAAACATTTTTAGATTAAAAACATGATATTATAAGAGTACTATTGCAATTTTGGTAATGATAGTTGCAAAATAAGACAATTCCAAATGAAATCAAGGATATTTGCTGGAAAATAAAAATAGTAACCTTACAACTTTCAGGTTTAAATTTAATGCCATAAAAATGACATTAGTTGTAAAAATAACGTTTTCATATTGAAAAAAATGGAATTATAGACTAATAATATCATTGATGGATAGTGTATCCGGGGATAGCTTATCCGAGGGGTTATTTTGTGAAATAATCTAGAGAGAAGTCAGAGCAATAAGTAAGAGAGAGAGTGTGTGTATTTGAATAGGAAAGTTGTGTCGATTACAATGGAAAGTGGCTGCTATTTATAATAGCCATAAATGCTAGGTAGGGACACGTGTTAAGCATCTGACGGCCGAGAGTCTCCTCAATTAGGGTGACACCGACACTCACATGTGCACCACATTAAATGCGGTGGTTGGATGTGACGTTGTACTTGATGCGGTGATTCAGTGCATGTGGGAGAGCAGATCTTGTCGAGAAGAGCGCCTTCAACTGTATGTGCCGAAGGCTCCACACATCAGGGGCATTATGTGCCGAAGGCTGTATGTGCCGAAGACTTGGTTTTCAAGTCTGGTTCTCCTGTGATGTTTATTGACTTGGTTTCATGAATGCAAAGTCTTCAGGCATGGGGCCGAAGGCACGCCTTGTGTATTATGAGCTGCCTGGAGTCCTGTTTGCTAGGCTTGGCCCATTTGGATTTGTTAGACCGATCGTAGTAGTGGAAGTATGTGGGTCGGGGGTTCTTGGACCATATACTTCATCAATCATGTTAAAATCGAGATTACTTTCTGGGAAACTAAAAATAGTAACCATGTCAGTCTCAGGTTCAAAATTGATTAGAAATAAATATATTAAATCAAATTTGAACTAAAAAGTAATGGGTTCAATATAAAATACTAATTAAATTAGACACAAACAAAATCTGAAAATATTGTTTAAATGATAGGAGGGAAGAATGGAAACAGAGGAGGAGGAAGAATTGAAGATCAGAGGGGGAGGGGGATAGACACGAAAGACAATAACGTGAACTTATTTTGCTTATTATGAAATTGAAAACAGGAACAAAACATTGAGTAAAATTCACGAATAAGCAGTGGCTGATTTATAGTTTAGGTTTTGCGTGATCATGTTTTCATACAATTAAAACTTGAAACAAGAATGGAGTATTAAACTAAACTTTTATATGCATACTAACATATTTTCATGTAAACATCTTTGAACTAAATTGGCTCCGCCATTGGAAAAAAAAATCATTTAAATACAATGTGTAGTAACAAATAAAAGTAATGGAATAACCGTCAAAATGGACATTATGATCATGTGTGAATCTCATATTGAAAACTAAGGCTTAAAATGGATCAAATTTAACACTATGGTTACATGTGTATTTCGTATTGGATAGTAAAGTTTCAAATGGATCACCTATAACGTTTTTATGATCATCTTTGGGCACCTACTAAAGACTTCACATTTGAAAGCCATACATATTCTTTTTCCCCTTGATTTCATGTACTTCAAAAATATAAATAAATTAATTCGTGTATTTAGATTTAGAATACGGAGTATATAATTAGATGTTCCAATTAAGAAAATTTATTATAATGTAATTGAATTCTGTAATATTGTTAATTAGTTTAACAATATGAATGAAGAAGAGAATCATGAGTGTCCAGAAACTACGAATTATTAAACATCGGTGGCTAGTATGAGATTCATACCTAATTGTAGTGTCGGGTGTTGTCCTTTTGAAATTTTAATAACCAATATGAGATTGACATTACTTGAATTCCTTTTTACCTACTCACTTGATTAGTAGTATTTTGGAAAACAAACAGTGGGTTGCATGAGTAATGCTTTTGTGCTATTCAGCTAATGTTCATAGGCACATTATTTGTGTTAGGCTGGATACAACTCTTCAGGCACATTATTTATGAAAATCCAATGATTACTTATATGTCTTAGAGTTTTTCATAATATAATCCTAATCATCAAATCATAGTTGGGGAACATCAGGAAAAAGAAATTGTATTTGAGATGTACTCTATCTTGATGAAAATGAGGGACAGTTCTGGGACATAAGGAAAATAAGCTGGAGAACTAAAACATTTTATATACAACTAGAAACAGAGGAGTATATACTGAAGAATGGAGATTATTGCATGCATTATACTACAAATATGTACAATCTCTCTTTTCTCATCTGTTTCCCTAATAATCCACATGACAGTAAATAGTAATAATGTGAAAGGATTAGCACAAATCACCCAGCTGAGCTTCAGTAATCCACAAAGCTACACGCTGGTGTTTGAAAATCTCTCACTTGAAAATCACTAGCAAGAAAAATAAACTTGACGCTAACTGGTCAGAGAAGATTCCGGGGATGCATAATCAAAGGACCACCCCACTGGTAAATCTATCTCCGTCTATCTAGACCTGGCCGGCCAAATCCATGGCTTTTATGAAAGTGCCATGAAAACCGTAAGGAACTCTTGATGGTAACTTTACAGTGGCTTCCAGCTTCAAAGTCTGGGCATTCACAATCTGCAGCTCTGATTTCCATGCCTTCTCGTCATGCACAAAAGCGAATATATGCCCATCATCTTCTTCTTCTTCCCCCGTTTCAGAATCTCTTGGCAGAAACAGAGGCTCCCCGCCGTATTTCTCATCCCCGTACATGAATTTCTGTACCTCTCCGCTGAAAAGATCAACTTTTGCAAAGCCTGAGACTTTCGGCCATGGCTCTGCTATGGCTAGGAATGCGTACCTGGTTTTTCTGCCCAGTTTTTTCTTGTTCACCATTCCAACCTCTATATTTACGTGCTGGTTTGGGTCGATGATGGATTTTCTCGTGGATTTCCCGGTTTTAGGATTGAGCCGGATTTCGGATAGGACGCTCTTTAACTGCTCGTCGCTTTCCTTGAAGATTGAGTCCGGCGGGGTCATACAAGAACCGATCACGACGACCTCCCCTGTTTCTGGCTCCTCCCAGGCGTTCCAGAGGTGGAAGCAGAAGCAGTCCGGCACTTCCACCCACTTCAGTTCCGAGGAATCTTTGGCGTATTTGTTTAGTACCCCGAATCTTGATGCCTTGTTCTTGTCGTAGACCACCGGTGACCCGCCGTGGATCATCTCCGACATCTTGAACACCACTTGCTGGTCGGGGAAGACGACGAGGTTCTCTGTGATGGCGAAGTCGTGGATCATTGTGGGCTCCCGGAGTGGGATCGCGACGTCCTGGGATTTCTCCCCGGATTTCGAGAACCAGAAGTACTTCAGGTGAGGCTTTTGGATCACGTCGTAACTGAGGGCGAAGAGCTCGCCGGAAACAGGGTCGAGCTTCGGGTGGGCGATCATACTCGATTTCAGCTCCCCGTCGAAGTCGTATCTCCCGACGGTTTTCAGGTCTCCGGCGGGCGTGACCTTGACGTGGTACGGGAAATCATCTTCCGACATCGCCAGCAACCGGTTGTTGAAGTAGACCAGACCGGCGTTGGCCACCCCGATGCCTTTGGTGTGATCAACGAGCCCCAAAAGCCCCCGCGCGTAGAATAGCATCAGCCTCGCAATCCCGGTGTGGCCGTGAAGCTCTCCGATGGCTTTCGGGAAAACCGGGCGGCCTAATTCCCGTTCCTGGACAAACCTCTGCGTCTCTGTGAACCGGCAAGCGTAGCTGACGGCGCCGTTCTTGAACTGTACGGCGTGAACCATGCCGTCCCCGTCGAAGAAGTGGTGACCAGCCGCCGGCGCGTGCAGGGGATTCGCACCGTTGCGCACGTACACGCCACGTATGCACTCCGGAACACTACCCACCACCGGGAGACCGTGCCGGACGGATTGTTCCGCCACCGGGGCGAAATTACCGGCAATCTGGACTTTGGGGTCGACAGTTTTGGGCAAAGGGTGCTCAAGCTCATGGTCCGTCAGCCGATCCTCCACTGCGTCCAAGGCCATTGCAGCAGCCATTTGAAAGAAATTCCACCTGGAAGCTGGAGAAGAATAGGATGGATTTTCTTCCGGCGGGCATGAAGTGGAAATGGGGATAGCTACAGAGGGATGAACGGAAGATTGCTTTTTTGGGAAATGGAGCAGAGAAGGAGAGTGAAGGGAGCAATTAATCGTAAATCTTGGATGACTGTGAAAAGGGGGAGGAAGAATAAGAGTTGATGGAACTTTAGAAGAAGAGGGGTAATAATAACCTCTTGAGTTTACGCACAAAGAAGAACTTATAGTAGCAGCTGAATTGGCCATGGCTCCCTATTTTGATTCTCTGCTAGTTTAATTCTTGATGGAAATTGGTGATGGAGAAGATGATGAGGAAGAGGCTGTAGGGAGGTTGGATGAGACAAGAGGAGAGAGGGGGATATATAAAGGGAGAGCTGGGACTTGGGAGTGAAAAAGGGAGGGGTTGAGCGGAGAAGGAGAGAGACCACGTGTTGGATATTGGTTCGACTTCTCGTCCATAGATTGTTGCCATTGGCCCTCTCATCCAAACCCCGCGTTGAATTGAATTCAATTAAAATATGGAGTATAAAAACACCAATTATTTGTCCCATTATATTCAAATTCAAGTGCCTCTCGGACCTTAGACCATTTGCAGGGGTCAAAAGTCTAAATTGTTAAATACTGTGTCTAGATTTCGTCAATACTATATTTCTCTCCATTCATTCGTCGTCAATAAAATATACTCTGCATACTACCTCCGTCCCGGAATTATCTCCTTATTTGACTGGACACGAATTTTAAGATAGTGAGAAATGTGTGGTGGAGAGTTGTGCAGAGGAAAGAGAAATGTGTAAGAATGGTTGTGAACCACAAATTCTTTGTCAAAAAAGGAAAGAGGAGATAAATTTGGGACGGACCGAAAAGAAAAGAATGAAGATAATTCCGGGACGGAGGGAGTATTTTTTACATATCAATTTAATAAAACATTAATTAAATTATTATAAGTAATGTTTTACTTTTAATTTTTTCCTTTAATAATTATAAAATAAAATATACACATTTTGATGTAAAAATAAATAAATTTCATTAATCTTTTGATCATTTTTCGGTTAACAAAAAATGAACTTAGTTCAAGTAATGTTCGATTGTGAAATATTAAGTTATTTGTTTAGGATCCATGAATTAAAAATTTTTGTTTCTTGTTATTTTAGGTTCAAGAAAACTTCAACAGTTATAACTTCAGATTTTGTTTTTCATTTTATATAATACATATTGGTGTCATATAAAAGAGCATAAAAATCACGAATTTTGATATATTTGTTGACAAATTTGAATAAAAAATAAAAAAGTTATAAGAGTTGAAACAATTTGTGATTTAATGATATCACCATCATGTCATCCAATTGCATCTCTCCCTGCGCATCATGGCTGACACAACTTCGTTTTTTGCTTTCCGTTTTCTTTCCACACTGTCAATGCACCTTCTATTTTTAACACAATCAACCCACTTACCCACTTTTAACCCCCTTATTAACCTACCACTACACAGCATTAGGAGTCCAAAATTCTAAAATTTAAGCTTTTGGACTCCTAAAACCTTAGACCATTTGGAGTGGTGAGGTATTAGGAGTCAAAATGGCTAAATGTGAAAATTTTGGACTCCTAATTGTGTGTAGTGGTGGCTTGAAAGGGGTATTAAAAGTGGGAAAGTGAATGGAAGGGATTAAATATAGAGGGTGGGTTGAAAGGAGTGGAAAAGGGAAAAATAAAGAAAAAAGAAGAAAAGGGGGACGGCCAATATCCCAATTGTGTGTAGTGCTGATGTCATCATAGCATCACAATATCCCAATTTTTTAAAATAATTGTGTAGTGACTCTTAGAACAAATTTTTTAGGAACTTATTTTGATTATTTAATGTTAGTTGTAGTATATTTTTATAAGCGTTTCAAATTGTGCAAATCTCATAAAATACTTTGCATGTTTTTTAAACTATTAATCTAATTACTTCAATTGCTTTTTCTCAACATATTGAATCAGATTCTTTGATTTTGATTATACAGAGTTATGAACCACTTCAACTCTTTGATTTTATTACACGGAGTTAAAATTTTAGTTTGAAACTTTATACTTTGAGGTTGGATTCTTTCTTCAATTATATTTTGATTATTGATAATTGGTAGTTTGATACTTCGAGGCTGAACCATTGCTTTATAGTTTCATACTTTGATACTTATGATTTCTTCAAGTTAGAGTTAAATAAATCTTGGAGGATGGATTTTTTATTTTCTATTTTAAATTGGATAGTAGCTTAGACTCTTAGAGCCTTAGACCTTCATGGTAATAACATAATGTTATGAATTTATGATGGGTAGTAGCTTGAACAACTGTAACATTTTGTAAAGAAAGGAAATGACTTCTTTTCTATTTTAGTATTGGGCAATAGCTTACTCTTCTTTTCTATTTTAGATCGGGCGGTAGCTTCTTTTTAATTTGAGTCTTCTAACATGTGTTGATTTTCAGAATGTCTTAAACTGTGGGAAAAGGTGCCCCTAGTAGTAATATTAAGTCATCTGCGGCCACATCTCTTACACCATCACAAGATCAAGTAAAGCTTATGCAATAAAGGTTGTCAATGGCTTCCCGAAATCTCCCGCCCTCTCGAAAAATAAAAGCAAGCTGGTGCTAAATCTAAAACAACCAACCAATATAGCTACACTAGAGAGATCTTCTTTAGAAAGATCTTGGTTTGGGAGCATTTCTAAAAGGACATTGTCTCAGAAACGCAGGAAGTAGAAAAAGATGGAAAGACGGAGATGGTGGAGGCGGGACTACTGAAAGCTACGTGTGATCAAGAAAAACTTGTTTTTTGCTATTGATAGTACATGCAGTGGAACTAGTACTTACATTAAACACTTACTGAAACATTGCAAGTCATATAAACCAACGGATGACTTGCAAAACGTTCTTAGCAGTTCTTGGCTTTTGATAGTACATGCAGTGGAACTAGTACTTACATTAAAAATACGCTTGTTGTTAAGGGGTGGAGCCAAGAAGAAGCAATAGAGGGAATTGTTGAGTATGTTGTTATTGATGAGGTACCTTTTATTTGTATTGAGAGTGAACTATTTAAGCGAATGATGTGTAAAGTTCATCCCAAATTGATTGTTCCATCGAGAAGATTTATAATGATAAATTTATTCACTATGCTTGATACCACGAAACTTAAATTGAAAAGGGAAATGCGTAAGCATAAAGTGAGCTTAACTACTGACACAAGGACAATTGTGCCAAATCAGAACTACGTGGTATTAATTGATCATTTTGTGGATGATGATTGGGACATGCACAAAAGGATTCTTATCTTTTAGTTTGATTTGAAGTCATGGAGGTAAAGATATAGGGAAACAAAAAAGTCACAATTGAATATGTTGATAAAAAATGCAGAAATCCTCGAACACAAAAATGATAATGAATGTCAAGTTTATACATGTGAGGTGTTTGGCTCATATAATCAACCTGGTAGTGAAAGACTGATTGAAATTCTTGGAAACAAGTGTGGAAGCTCTAAGAAAAGTTGTGCGGTTCGTGCGATTAAGTCCTCCAAGGTTACGTATTTCGGGAAATGCTTAGAAAATGAGAAGTTCGATATAGGGGTCTAGTTGTGATGGATGTACCTACTAGATGGAATAGTACGTACATGATGCTTGAATCTTGCTTTAAGACCTTTGGAAGGATGTCTGAAGATGATGAATCTAGTATAATCTTATCTTATTTTGGTAAAACGATGTTCAATCATGAAGGAGAAGAAGTGGCAAGCAAAGGGAGGGTTGGACCATCAAGAGATGTTGATTGGGATGGTGCATAAGTGTTTGTGAAGTTCTTGAGGGTTTTCTATCTTGTCACTTTAAAAGTTAGTGCAAGTAAGTACCCCAAATATAATACCTTTGTTCATGATGTCATTATCATGGAGAATGAGATGGTGAAGTTTTTTTTGCCAAAAATATGTAACATACATCCAAGGTAGAACATGTTCTACATGATATGTCAATGAATGTGAAAGCCATATAATGAAAACATTTTGGTTCTATTGCTTCTCTTAATAATGTATCTGTAGTATCCCTCATTTTAGATCAAGTTTCAAATTAAGACATTACATGTACTTATGTAGAAAACAATTAAAGTTGGTTCAAGATGAGTTTGAAAAGATAATTAATGAAATGAAGACATTGTTGAAGAAACTGTGTGATGAATATGGCCATCATGGTTTTGGTTCATACCCCAACATAGGAGTAGACAAGGTGTAAGTACTAATGGCTATTCAAGTGTGGCAACTGAAAATCCAATGATATTTAATCAAATGATAGATGATTGGGGGAAGGAGCTAGAAGACAACTGGGATATTGCACTTGCACATGAGGTTGATATATATCTTCTCGGAAAATTAGATAAAACACCCTATGGCTCTACATTCAATGTTTTAAAATGGTGGAAATTCAAAGAGAGTAGTACATATCCTACACTTGCTTTGATAGCAAAGGACATGTTTTCAATCCAAGCATCAACAGTTACAAGTGAGAGTGCTTTTAGAACAGGGAAGAGAGTCATTGACCTACTCAGATAATCCCTTCTTCCTTAAATAGCGGAGTCACTAATATGTCTCCAAAATTGGTTAAGGAGTGAGCCAATTACAAATATTGATTATGAAGCGAGCTCTACAGAACTTGAGTTTATCGAGAGTGTGAAGAAGGTAATAATTTATTTGTGTAGAGCTTTGTGTCCTTTTTATCTTAATTGATCTATATTTCATTTTTATACATTCTTTTTTACAGAATATAAACAGAGAAGAACATCACAAATTGTGATTACAAGCTCTGATCTATCTCAAATAAAGATAATAGACTTCAAATCACAAAATGATAAAGGAAAGGGGATCATGGTAAGTCCTCGATATTGATAGTTTAAGTCTACTGATAATTAATATACCTAAAGTTCATTATACCTTGCTAATGTCATAACTTTCATGTATATTAAAGCAGACCTTCCACATAAAGTGCGTCAAATAAACCGCAAGCAGTTACTCGCACATGTGTTGCACACTTATTTAAAAATCATTAACAAAGATAAGATATTTTTTAAATGTTTAAAACGTTAATCTATTACGTTTCCATCAAATTATACCTGAAGATTTTCCCACTTGATAGCTTTCTCATGCCATCTTGAGTGGAAACAATCTCGAACGCACTATACAATATTTATTCAAACAACATCAAATAAATGAAATCTAAAAGAACCAATTGAATGCATGTCCAATAATAATTTCAAAACATTATTATAGTATAATTAAATTATTTTTGATAAATGTTTTTACATCGTTAACTCTCTTTTCAAAGTGCAT